GGTTGTTGGCGTCTAGGAATTAGAGTTTATAATTCCTTAATGTTACATAGGTTTGTAATCTTTTGTTGAAGCTCAGAGTTTAATGAAGTAGAGTTAAATCCTACAGAGGTGTAGGTCGTGGTTTTTACCCTTTATGAGCCGGGGATTTTCGCGATAAAATATTGTGTCATTACTTTATTTGCTTTACATAACGTAACTGCTGTAATCTGCAAAGGAACAGATTGAATATACCTGTTCCTTAGGCAAATCTGGGGGTCAGTATTCCAACAGTGGGTGACCCCATTATCCAATCCAAAAGGAAGAAGTGGACCATTCTAGAAAGGGGTGTTGGGTTGTTAGAGGGCGTCAAACATTTATACAAGCATGATAATGTAAGACGTAACATTTGGAAATTAAAATTATGTTTCATAACTTTGTGAAATTTTATGATATAATAATATAAAAATATAAAAAACAATGGAAAGGTAAATTGGGTTGAATGTGATTTCAGTTTTTTTTTTGCTTTTCTACTAAACTAAATGAAGTTAAAATAATCCTCAAAAGAGTTGTAATATGCACGAAAATCAAGCATAACGTGTAATAAAAACTTTTTGAGATTGTAGAGACGTTTTTCAGCAACAATCAATTACTTCTCACCTAAACAAAATTAGAATTTTGACTTTTCAAGTATACAAACTAGCAAATCAATATGAAAAAAATAAAATACACAACCATTCCACCCCTATCCATTGAATAATTCATCAGCTACGGTGATGGAGTGATAAATACTCCTTCATCCTTAATCAGAACCCAGAGATTTCGGATTCAAGTCCCTTTGAGTACATAATCGCTTTTGTTAGGGAACATTTTATCCTCAATGTGAGACTTTCTACCCGAATCTAAATTTTGTTAGGTTCTAATATGGTACCGAACAATAAATCATTAGTTCCTGCCTCCTGGGCACCGGATGACAATATTTGGGTAGTTGAAAAGTTTAAAGCGTACGGACAATTGAAATTGAAAAAAAGAGCATTTTCGAATTGATTTCTAAATAATATTTCATTATTTGCAAATAGGATTTATATCCAAAAAATATGGAGCACGAAATAGAAAACAATCCATTTTCATGCATCAATCTCTGAAAATTAAACCAACTTTTGAGAATGGAGAAAATCCTTTTCAAATAATTTAGAATCACATGCTACAAAAGGATATGTTTTTTTTTCTAAATTTCAACTGCTAATCAAAATAACTCTAAGTTCCAGTATAACATAGGCCAAAAAAAACACAGTAGCTGGTTCCTGAATTTGTCAAACCCGGTTATAGCCAACTGACTTGCTGAACAGACGTCTAATATACACAACCTGAAGTCCGCTTGCCAATATAAGTAGCAGATACTCTCCAATTGTGTAAAATATAACACGATTCCGTGTGCTCTCGTTAGCTGCACGAGATTAACACACATCAGATAAGCAGTAGATGGCATGATGAGTGAACTCTATTTTTTTCAAGATTCGGTACCTCACAGGAAATAACTAAAATGTAAACAGAAAGAACTTTTAGGGAGATTTTACGTCCATTGTAAAAAGGAAGTGAATATAGCCCCGGAAACATTTGTAAGGTTCAGAAGATAGCAGATACAT